GAGAGAGAGAGAGAGCGCCCCATTATCGATAGCATTTCAAGGGAGTGAAGTATTGAAACCAGGGCTGAATAACGGTACCAGCCTTTAGGTACATGCTTTAATGTTGTAATTCATTTGAGTTCATTATTTTATGAGAATTTTGGGCTTGATTACCTGAAGAACTTGCAGGATATTTTTTTTGAATGTGAATAACTTGGAGAATTAGCTGTTAAATTTGTTGGGTTTGTTTCGAAATTGGATTTTTTTTTGACTGGGCATTTGGGTTGTTTTGAATTGGAAGAAAGTTGAGGTTTCTCCAATAAATTCCCCACTCTGAAGCTTTTTGTTTTTTGCTCCATTGGAGCTCTTAATTTGAACCTTAGTTTCTGTGAGATAAACCATCAGAACAATACAGGCATCTTCGATTTGATTCCTTTAGAAAAACAAGGCTCAGGACAACTAATGTTCTTATTCATAAGTTGCAGAGAGTAGTGGAGTCCAATTTGGGGGATTTTTGTTGGTTTGGAGCTTAGGAATCTAGAAATGGGTCATTGCGGGAGAATTTGATATTTGGGACAGAGAGAAACAATGGCTTCTCTTAGTTCCATGACCACTTTGGGGAGCTCAAGAGTGAATTCCACCGTCTGTTTTGAGAAATCACCACATGGGGTTCGGAGGTGTTCGTTGGTAAAAACAAGATTTTTCTGTACTTTATCAAATTCTAGGAGATGGGCTCAAATCTCAGTCTGTCGATGCATAGCCATGACCAATCTGATGACTGAACAGAAAAGTTCTGCGTTGCCTGAGTCCACTTTTAGAGGGAACAAAGATGAGGATCCCGATCTTGTTCTCCAGCCTGCTCCCAAACCAGTTTTGAAACTTCGGCCAAAGGTCGAACCTCTTGCCATTTCTGAGTCCACAAACTCAATGGGGGTAGCTTGGACTAATCCCAAAACTGTGAATTCTAGAGGGAGAAAAGATGGTTTAGAGGATCCCAATGATGTTATAGAATCACTCGGTGAGGTTTTAGAGAAAGCAGAGAAGCTAGATTCAGTAAATTCTAAGAGCAGGCCTGGTCCTGAATTGGTTGATAAAGATCGGAAACCTTCTAACAAACCAGAGAACAATGCTAATAATAAAGTAGCCCGGCCTGCTAATTCGGTGACAACACCAGAGAACAATGCCAATAATAAAGTATCCCGGCCTGCTAATTCGGTGACAACCCAAAAGTCCAAAACTCTAAAGAGTGTTTGGAGAAAAGGGAATCCAGTTGCCAGTGTACAAAAATTAGTGACCGACCCGGCAAAGGAGAAGGCAGAAAATGTGTCTTCTAGGAAGGGAGGGACTGAGAATAGAGGTGAAAGTACTTTAGTTAGAGAAGGTAAATCTCTTCCAAAAATGGATAGTTTGGGAAGCGAGCAAAAGAATTTTTCACAAGCTGGAAGTTTGGGGAGCACAATATCTCCTCCTCGTGCTCCTTTGAGGCCTGAGCCACCTTCAAAACCACAGCCAAGATTACAAGAGAAACCAGCAGTTGCCCCACTGCCTAGAAAACCAGTAATTCTGAAGGATGTAGGGGCTGCATCTAAACCCACTGTCTCAGAAGAGAGTGAAGATGCATCAAGAGAGAGAAAGCCGATTCTCATAGATAAGTTTGCTTCTAAGAAAGCCATGACTGACCCACTTCTAGCCCAAGCAATTTTAGCACCCCCTAAACCAGCCAAAGGGGGAGCATTATCAAAAGCCAAAGATGAGCGACGGAAAAAAGCCGGGCCCTCTTTGGGCCCAAAGAGACGGATGGCTTTAGAAGGAGATGATGAAGAAACACAAGACGATGAGAACACTGAGCTAAATGTCAATATACCAGGAAGGAAGGGAAGGAAGTGGAGCAAAGCTAGACGGAAGGCTGCTAGGCTTGAAGCCGCAAAGGCAGCAGCCCCAGTGAAAGTGGAAATTCTAGAGGTGGGTGAAGATGGGATGTTTACTGAGGATTTGGCCTATAATTTAGCAGTGAGTGAAGCTGAAATTCTTGGATATCTTTTCTCGAAAGGAATTAAGACCCCTGCAATACATAAACTAGACAAGGAGATGGTGAAGATGATATGCAAGGAGTATGATGTGGAAGTGATAGAAGCTGACCCTGTGAAAGTGGAAGAAATGGCTAAGAAGAAGGAAGTTATTGATGAAGATGATTTGGATAATCTAGAAGTTCGACCTCCTGTTATCACTATAATGGGCCACGTCGACCATGGAAAGGTAACATTTTGCACTGCTAAAATGAGCATGAAATCTGGTATTAATATTGTTTTATACTAATCTAAGATGTGACATGGTGGTAGAAGCTCATAGTTTCAAACAAGAAACTGGTTTCTATACTACTTGATGAACCAGTCCAATGTTCTTTATCAAATGCCGCAAAAGGAAAATGTAAACAGACATGCATTTCTTGATGTTTTGAATGCCATCCTTTGGTTGGTACCCAGAGTTTGATCTTTTAGTTTTTAGATAAAAAAAAGTATTTATTTACATTGGTTTTATTAATTGAAATTGTTCTTCTGTTCTGACAGACGACTCTCTTGGACTACATTCGGAAAAGCAAGGTAATGTATGACAATTGGATGTTCAATAAGATGGACATTACTTTTCATTACTTACCAGAAAAAGACATTTCTATTCGTTCTTTATTTTGCTAAGAATAATAAGTTTGATGTCCTTAAATTATATGTTATTTTTGTTAACCATGATGATGTCATGAGAGGAAGGCTGATTACTAGAATTGGTAGGTGGCTGCATCTGAAGCAGGTGGTATCACACAAGGGATTGGAGCGTATAAAGTGCTTGTGCCAATGGATGGAAAGCTTCAGCCTTGTGTTTTCCTTGATACACCTGGACATGAGGTAACCTCCATTTTGCTTGTTAAGTTCCCTTTTCTATGCAATGTCACTATTTCCTTTGATCATATACTCGATTCATTTTTTAATCCAGTTGCTAACTTTGGTTTTCAGAAAAAAAGGAAAGAATCCGATTACCAACTTTTAATATATAGTTAATGTTCAGCTTTTTAATCTCCCATTGGTCTTCAAGAGGGTCATTCAGTCTTTCGTTATATATGTTTCAATTTTTAGTCCCCTTGCTGACGTTAAATTTGGTTGATGTTTGGCTTCTGAACCTCTGTAGTCTTCTCAAGAGTAGTTTCAAACACTATTACAAAAGTAAACAGTTAGTTTTTGTTTTTCCCCTTTTGTCGAATGTTTTTATGGGTGAATTACATATTTATATTTATTTGATAATTCATTTCTTCCTTTCTGTGATCTTTGAAGTTTTTGTTTATATTGTAGGCATTTGGGGCAATGAGAGCACGTGGAGCAAGGGTGACCGACATTGCTATTATTGTTGTGGCAGCTGATGATGGGGTGCGCCCCCAAACAAACGAGGCCATAGCTCATGCCAAAGCAGCTGGGGTGCCTATCGTTGTTGCAATAAACAAGGTATGTATTTTATGCTAGTCTTCTAAGTAGCCTCCATATTGCAATTCAAAGCTTTGTCATATCTCATACCACCCTTTATCTTTGTTTCAGACTGACAAAGATGGAGCAAACCCAGAAAAAGTTATGCAAGAACTTTCATCAATTGGCCTGATGCCTGAAGACTGGGGTGGTGATGTGCCTATGCTTCCGGTCAGCACCTGATTTTATTTGAAAGTGCTCTTTATCTAGGCATAGAAATTTACAATGATATTTGCAATACATAAGGATGATTTAAAATTTCCAATCTTGCATTTCATGAATGTTATGAGCAAAGTAATACCCAATAGCTGTTTCTTATGTTTGATGAGAAAATACAGAAAGATAACATGTGTTTATATTTCACCAATTTTAGAACTCTGCGAAATTGTTCCTTTCTGATTCTTATATTCTGGCACGTGCCAATGTATTGTCTCTCTTTTTGCTACATAACTCTTTCCTGCCTTAGAGTCATTTTTTCTTTTTTGAGAAGACTGGACTGAGTTTTAAATATTTTTTGGAAATGTTATGGGTCGAGGCCCAAATTAAAATTTTGGATTTGATAGTGGGTACAAATTTTACAAGAGAAAACATAATAAAGATAGAGAATATACATATCCTAATTTTGGTTTCTTTGGTAGAACATGTAAAGTTTTGTATTGGCCAAATTCGGAGTTTAACCTTTCTCTCAAACAATGATGGCCAATATTCAGGGTATAATTGAAGGCGATATATGTTATCCCTTTCACCCATTTGAGTTTTTTCCAAGGCCTTAAGTGAATTGTATTGAAACTTGGCTGATACTTACCAAAACTTTATTCCCTGGTTTTGACAACTTGAATAATTACAAGTAGATTCCCTTAGGCCTTAGTCTAGACTCTCGATATTGCCGATGAGAAACTGATCAAGTGTAGGTAAAAGGACTTGGAAAATTGAACATTCAACTGTTCAAATGCTTCTGATTAAATAGATGTTTCTAGCCGATCTATGAACCTCATTTGACATTAAATCTGTAAAATTTTACTGAACGGTACTATATGAACTACTAAACCTTTATGTAAGGCTTACATTTTTCGAAATACTGAAATATGTTGTTTCTCCTGATCAGATCAGTGCTCTCAAAGGTGATAATGTGGATGAGTTGTTGGAAACCGTCGTGCTAATTTCTGAGGTATTCTATCCCAAAGTGCTGATCAGTTGTTTTGTTCTTTGCAATTTACTGATTGATGATTTGGCTGCCTCTTTCATGAAAAGTTCATAGTATGAGGCTTTCTTTTCTAAATAATTTTTTGAGAACAGAATTACACTTTTCTTTTTGTTTCACTCTATTATTTTAACCCTCATTCTGATATCCTTACCTACTACGTTGAAGATGCAAGAATTGAAGGCTAACCCACATAGAAATGCCAAGGGCACTGTCATTGAATCATCTCTTCATAAGTCAAAAGGACCGGTTGCCACATTTATTATACAGAATGGTACTCTTAAAAGGGGAGATGTAGTCGTATGTGGAGATGCCTTTGGAAAGGTTGGTTGCAATTGTTATTCCATGTGTAAATGAGTAAGAAAGGATAAATATTTCATATTTGTTCAAGGGTTTGATAGTGTACAAAGGCTGGAATACATTGCTTAATTACATTTTTGATGAATAGGTGCGGGCTTTGTTTGATGATACTGAAGGTCGTGTTGATGAAGCCGGGCCATCAACGGCCGTCCAGGTCCAAGTTTTCCTCTGTCTCTTTTTTTTCTTGGACAAGTTCCTTTCTTGTCTTATCAGCATCTTCTTACAAGTCTTGGACTAGCCATAGCTCAAGGGGTGTAAGTTCATATAGTTGTGTAGCTTTTTCTTGGGTTGGTAAGCTGGGGCAGTTTATGGTAGGTAGCCTAACTGTTGCATTAAAAGTACAGCGTAGTAAACAAACTGATTTTTTCTCTTTAAAATGAATAATGCAAAATGTAAATTGCTCCAAAAAGCATAATTATCCATCCACACCGGGCAATATAAGTGTTGGGTAGCAATTGCTAGAATAATCCAAAGACAATGAATATATAAAGTAAGGGTTATTGGTGATATTGGTCATGTCAGTTGTCAAAGGGTTGACAGTTCTAAACATGGTGCTGGCTGAGTAGCACCTTTACAGCTGACTGGTATGGCTCCTATTTCCATCCATCATGCTGAGGTTCAAATTCAGGGAGGCCCTAGATAGTGACATGGGAACTACGATTGCCCACTAAAATTAGTTGACTAGCAAGGTTAGAACCAAACACTTAAATGATGCTTAAATGCTGTAATGGATTATTCTTGCATTTATAGGAAAATTTTTAAGTTGTAACTTGTAAGAGAAATCTATAGTACTTGTAGCTTGGGAGATAAAGGAACTAGTATAGCATTTTTGCCTAATGAAAAGTTGTATGGGAAGGTGTTCTACCCTAGTGGTTTGGAGCTTTGAACTGTTGCAGCCTAGGTTGTTTGCTGGAATTGGATGCTTGACAATCAGCGGAAGAAAATATACGGAAAGGAAATAAAGCAGTGTGTATTAATCAAAGAAACCATGTTGCCTAAATATCCATCTGGAGATGTTCTAAATCATGACAGATTCCTTATATTCATGATTCTAATGGAGTAGCACACTCTGGAAAATGGCTAGCATTTGATGAACTCGCGATAGTTATGTGGTAAGGCTCTTGATTTCTTTTTTAAAAAAAATAAATAAAAATTTCACCAACAACAACTCTTGTAGATTGAATATTGTTACATACTGTATCTGAGGAACCTGAAACTTGGGTTGAGACAAAGAGTTCCATACCTAGAAACCGTAAATTTAAACCTAGGCTGCATACTAGGAGGATGGTGATGAGTACTACTACTGGCCATCCACAGTTTTTTACATATTACCGAGATTACTCAATGTGACCTTAACAAAAAAAGAACACTTGCTCCTCATTTTGAGCTTGATGGGTTCAAGTATTGAGACAAGTCTGTATCTTTTGAGTAGGTTATTGGCTTGAACAATGTTCCTATTGCTGGTGATGAATTCGAGGTTGTAGACTCCCTCGATAGTGCTCGTGAAAAGGCTGAGGCATGTGCTGAATCATTACGAAATGCACGCATATCTGAAAAAGCTGGAGATGAAAGGGTTACACTTTCTTCCCTTGCTTCTGCGGTCTCAGCTGGCAAGCAGGCAGGAATCGACATGCACCAGCTAAATATAATTATGAAGGTGGATGTTCAGGTAATAATCCATGGTATAATTTCCGGTTGTTTTTATTATCCTTTTGTAGTTGTTATTCTTGAATATCTGGTAATGTTACTTGCCAAAGTTGTCTAAGACTTTCTTAAGTTATTTAGTCTTCTTTAGATTTCAGCAAGGCACCACCATTCTTTTCTTTTTTTTGATAAGTGCGACACTCTTAAATGCTTATATGTAACCTGTGGCCTTCTTTGACTGCCTGTCTAAGAGTTTCTTGGATACCTGAATTCCTTTTGAGCCCCTGACCTTCCAATTTTGCAATTGGCCTGAAAAACCACATCCTATTAAAATATGACTAAAACGGCTTGCAAATTTTTCTTGAGTAAGGCCATCTGTGGAGCTCTTTGTATTTCTTAGTTCTCCCCGTATTCAAAGACTCAAAATATCAGGGAATTTCATAGTATGTGTGTGTATGGAAAGAGAGAGAGGGGCCTTTTTGCGCATTCTTAGCTTTTGCTGCATTTTCTCTTAACTGAGATTTTATTTTTGGTCATTTTCCTGCCTCTACATGGGTTTGTAGAATGCTTCAACCACCAAAAACATTCACATGACGTGGTCCCTATCTTTTCAAAATAACTTCCATCTGCACATATTAACATTAATAACTTGTTTCTCGTTTTTAGTTTCTTATTACTCATATTTTGAAGTCATTAAATTTATTTAGTTTTTTTCAGAATTCGTATATGCTAAAATTGCTTCACATATCCAAATCATGGAAGAAGTAGTTTTAACACAACTCCCCACCTCTTTTTTTTTCTCCCCCACGCACATGTATGTTATTTCGAATTTATGTTGCTATCGTAACTTCTCTCACCATTCACTTGGAACTATGAGAACTTATATTGTCCTCTGACATTTTCTTGTTGGAATTTATTGTGAAACCAATAGGGATCCATTGAAGCAATCAGGCAAGCTCTTCAAGTTCTTCCTCAGGATAATGTCACTCTGAAATTCCTATTGCAAGCTGTAGGAGATGTGAGCGCGAGTGATGTTGATCTGGCTGTTGCTAGTAAAGCTATCATATTGGGTTTCAATGTTAGGGTGGCAGGATCTGTTAAGAGCCAAGCTGAAAACAAGGGTATAGAAATCAGGCTATATAAGGTCATATATGAGCTTATTGATGACATGAGAGTGGCAATGGAAGGACTACTAGAGCTGGTCGAGGTAAACCAAAATCATGATTCTCTTTCTTACTTGTTTGCTCTAATGAAGATTTTTTTGTTTTCTTCTTCTTTATGTGTGTGCCCATGCCCCAGAGAGAGAGAGAGAGAGTCCCCTAAAGGTGGTGTAAAAGTTTCACCCATGTTGCAATTTTTATTTTTCTTAAATGTCATTCAGTGCCTTATCTTGGTATTTCCTTTTCCGAAGGAATAGGATTGAATTGAAAAAAGGATTAGAATTGAATTGAAAACTTTTGCGGGAAGAAGATGAAAATTAAGAAGGGACTGAGTTTCGAATTACTATGTAAATTATCCTTAGCTTTAACTTATCTGATCATATTATATATTGGGCCTAGCCACTAATTTGGCCCTCTCTTTCACAGGAACAAATACCAATAGGAGCTGCCGATGTGAGGGCAGTCTTCAGTAGTGGCAGTGGGCATGTTGCGGGTTGTATGGTGAGAGAAGGGAAGCTTGTCAGTGGCTGTGGGGTTCGGGTAGTTCGAAAGGGTAAAACTGTTCATACTGGTACTCTTGAGTCTCTCAGGCGAGTGAAAGAAGTTGTGAAAGAGGTAATTTATGATATATTCATATGTTCCATGTTTTAGCTGTTTTCTTCTTATACTTCTTGTCCTGCCATTCTCTCTCATGCAGAAAAGATAATTTATTATATGTTCTGTGTTCTGGCTCCTCTCTCTCTCTATCTCAATTTATGGTATGTTCTATTTCTGGTTCCTCTCTCTCTCTCCCTCTCTCTCGGGGCGATCTCACTTTCCTTCCAATTTGTAGGTTGGTGGTGGTTTAGAGTGTGGTGTTGGAGTCGAGGACTTCACGAATTGGGAGGTTGGTGATGTCATTGAAGCGTTCAACTCAGTGCAGAAACAAAGGACTCTTGAAGAAGCATCAGCTTCGGTGGCTGCCGCCTTAGCAGGAGCCGGTGTTGAGCTGTAAGCAACAAAAACTCCATCAAACAAATTGTTGGGTGTACTTTTTATGGTGGCCATCAACTTCTGTCTTCCTTGTCAGCCTTTCTCACCCATCGGCTATAATTTGTATCCAATTCTCTCTTCGTGATAGTGTTTCTCATTCATCAGCCAAAATTTATATGGCCTCTTCGACACATACAAGCCTCATCGGATGGGAACTGTCGAAATTATTGTTGAGATTTAGGCGACGCCATCTTGTTCTGTGATCTTCTTGAATCTGTCTTATTTTGCGCGTTGCTGATAACTATAAATGTATTTTTGCTGAATGTATATAATTTGAAGCTGTTCAGCTGTTGTAAAGAAGGAATATTTTCTTGGCTTGAGAAGATCATGGTAACTTGTGAGAGTCAAGAGGTGGCTGATATATTCCATTTTCCTTGTTCAAATCAGCTTCTTTTACTTTTTTTTGCCTTTGTTTCATTGTCAACCATCAACAAGGTAAAGATACTCTTGTTGCTTGTTTTTTTTTTTTTTTTGTTGCGTGTGCGCGCACCTGGTCATAAACAATGATACAGAAAATTGGAATACCTGAGACACTTGGGGGAGCCAAAGCGAGTAGTTTTTTGGGGAATGTACATATTTTTTGAAATGTTGAAGATGTGAATGATCTTAAAGGACTTGTCACTATTTGTAACATAATTTTCTTGGCATGAGAGAGACAGAGAGAGGGGTTGAACTTCATTTAACCTGAGAAGCAGATAAATAGAAAGTTGTCTATCTAGACAACCCTCATGTAGATGAGAGTAGGGGTGGCAACAGACCCGACCAGGCCTGGGACACGATGGGTAGACCTGAATTCGGGTCTGGCTATGGGTCAAAATTTTGGACCTTAATAATATTCAGGTTTGGGTTCCGCTGGACCCGACCCGTTGCCACCTCTAAATGAGACTAGGGGTAGTAAAATAGCTTGATCATATATCTTGTTCTTGTAGGAGCGCACTTTGTATATTTGCTCCTTCGGGTAAAAAGTCAGAATTATCTTTTAGATCTAAAATCCACTTTAGAATAAAAGTATCTTTCAAAAAAGTAAAAAATATTTTGAGATAACACTTGGATCTGGCCGTCTAAAAATTGGTAAGTCTCTATTTCTCATGCATATATAAAATGTGCTTTTGTTTTTTGGTTGCTCATTCCATGTGCTTTTTAAAAATTGAAATAGAAATAAAAGTTTAAGGCTTGTAACCCTAGCTTGGGTGTGGAGAAGAAACCTTAAATTCCTTGTTTCTTGCTTATTTTACTATTTAATCAAATTTCTCGACATCAATATATGTGCAGCATAATCAAAGATTTTCAATCTTCAACTTGAAAGACCAAGTAAGCATGCATTTGATAAGGTACGAGTTATTGTATTTGACTGTCATAAACGCCTCTTTATATCAATTTTGGTCGATGATTGTTTTTAGGATTTTTTTTTGAAGTAATTGATTTGAAATATAATTTTGCAAATAATTTAATTGAATAAATATTTCATATTTAAATTTTGTCCCTTTGAATTAAATAAAGACTTTGTATTTTTCAAAGGATACTTAAAGCACACGTTCAAAAGCACGTGCATTGTACTAGCATATCAAACTGGATGGTTTAGGATGTGTCGCAAAATTCGAGATTTGTATTTTTGATCTTCTAGTCAATAACCCATTCACTACCACCTGATTTAAAATTTGACGAGAATAATTGCAACATCCTTGTAATAAAAATAAATAATCTATTTCTATGCATTTCCTTAAACTCAATAAAATTCTCAATTTTTCCATTTCAAGGAGAGAGAGAGAGCACGCACCTCCTATGAGGGAGAGAGAGAGAGAAAACACAAAATGTAGGAGGTCAACATGTATTCCTATGCGTGCACAAAGTTTAGGGCCAATATTGTCTAATTTGGAAGATAGACTTAAAGGAGATGAAAATAGTTTAAATATAGTCATGTATGGCTCAAGAAGAGAAGGAAAGGAGGTCTACATGGATTCCTATGCATCCAGGAAGTCCTACATTTTGTTAATTTGAAAAGGAACCTGAGCTTAATTGGTCAGCACTTGAGATTTGTAATACTATGTCTAAGGCTCAATTCCTACTAGGGGTACGGGCCCTTTCCCACCCATTCACCCAAAAAAACAAAAAAAAAAAAGATAGACATGAAAGAAAAAATACTAAAATGTATGAAAATATGACCCAAGAAGAGATGGAGGAGAGTTTCTTTGAGGAGTTGTGTAATGAGTTTCTTTGTGTGCTTCCCCTGCTGCATAAAAATTAAATATTTCTTCTATCCAACCGTTCAATCTGAATGGTCGGTTGAGATGACTTCAATTACAATCTCATGTCTCTACACTATTTTATTTTTAAATTTTTTTAAATATTCTGACACCCGTCCACTAATCTCTTAAACTCGCATTTATGAAAAATATAAAATAAATTTTCTCAAAGGTCCTTACTTCAGTCGGTTTGCTGTGATTTCTCTATTCTCACCAGAACTCACAATGTTTCTAAGTTCCTAATTACTCAGGCCATCAATCATTCATAAGATTGTAGTATTTTGGACTGCATGGATGTCAAGTTTATTCATATAGCGAATATCTTTGTTTTTTATTTGCCATTTGCATTTATTGATTCAGTTAAGAAAGAAAGGTGATATAAAAGTCTACCGTAGTTGTTGGGGATAGGAATCTTTTCCTCCATTTCAAGGATGGGTCCAGCTCTTGTTCAAGTCACTGGTGAAATTAGGGTTTAGGAATAGATTATAGATATTAGAAAAACATAGACGCGCAAAAATGAGCTCAGGAACAATTTGGTTGAATTTATCATCAATTAAAACTCTGAAGCTCTAATTTCATAAATAACCTAAAAACAATAATACTTTCAATCAATTTTAATGTCTTTTTTCTTTTCTTTCCTAAAATAAAATCAATAAAATTGGTGTTTGGAAGATTCCGGTTCACTTTGGATTGTGTCTTTTGTGTATGCTTCTACCTGTTTTTTCAAAAAGTTTACGAGGTGGCCTTTTGAAAGTGTTAGTGGGGTAATATCTAGGTGAATGAAAACCACAATGTGATGACTTAGGTTGTGTCTTGAAGTAGATTATATGTGTTTTGAAGTTACCATATGTCTTTAATTTATAAAACTCATTTTTTACGGGGTTTATGAAATTAGGGCTTCTCAATTTTGGTACCGTCTTAATTAATATATTAATTATAATAATTACAAAATTTTCATTATTTATGTGTAAAATCTTTCTCTTATTGGACACATAATATATATATAAAATATCCGAATTGTGATTCTTTATTTGGATTGCGGGATTTTGAAATACTCGTAGTGGAGGATGCGAAGCAGGCATTAAGCAGAGGAATGACTGACACCGACAATCAATCTTCAAGGATGGATGATTGAGGTGACATGTTATTTAAACTTCTAAACTACAAGAAATTGTAAACGTTACGGTTTGTTTAAGGCTGAGGCCTTAAGCAATCAAAGTAATGCGCACCTTCAAATAGTGCCTAAAAATGTGGTTTTCATTTTGGAAATCTTTGTAATAGCCTTAAAATATATTTTCATATCTAATTGTAAAATTTAAAGCTTCAAAAAATAGTAAAAATTGAACATATTTATGAAAATCTTGAAAATTGATGATCTAAAAATGCATTACAAGATGCACTATTTCAAAAACTTGAAATCTATTTTTTTGTCATGTCCATGCATCTTGAGGTCGAGATGATCAATTTGAGGTTTTTTGAGCATCAAAACAACCTCTATTGAAATTTTTGAGGTGCGCCCTAATTAGATTGTTTAGAGCCTCATACTTTTATAAACTTTTTCCTTTTAGTTTTCACTTGCATTTATTCTTTTTTTATTTTCTATTTGGATATTTAGACCGTGGCGCCCTTCAAAGGTGGATTTATTCCCTTGATCCAATAATTTTTTCCAATTTTTCAATTCTTATCAAATATCCAATAGTTTATTCCAATTTTTTGAATAATGTCATGATACTTGTTTAATATCCAATAATTTCTTTCAAATTTTCGTATAATCTCGCAGTTCCTATCAAGAGTGAGTTCTTTGCTTCTATTTGGATCTGATTTTTCATGGGCGGTTTGATTAAACTTTTATTATTTTCATAAGGATTTGGTCAATTCAGATCTCCGACCTGGATCATGCAGTAGGCAGGTGATCCGAAGCTCAATTCTAGATACGCAAAAAGGTGTACCAAATTCGTACAGGGTTTGTTTTCTCTATGAATTCCTTATTTTCTTCTAAAGAAAGTGAGGTTTTCCAGCTTTGGGTTCTGCGGATTCTTCGAAAGAGAAATTTTTTCCTTTCATTGCATCGTTTTTATTGCTCCTAGCATTATTTTCCTTTGTTTTGACTTTTGAGTCTATCTCAATGCGTTACATCTGAGTTTCTCGATCAATTACAAATGGTTGTTTTTGAGGTTGAGAATTTAAGTTTTAGATTCCATTGTTCATTTCAAAGTCTAGTTTTAGTTCAGTCTAGGTTGGCTTATATCATGTTCAGTCTTTTTTTTTTTTTCATAAAAAATAGTTTATGTTCGGGTAATGCCGACATATAAACTTGAGTTACCCCCGTCCAACTTAATTGGATGGTGGTAATTGAAAGACTATCCTTCAATCACCATGCGGTGGGATAGCTCATGCGGGCATGACCATACAGTAACCGCGTCTTTATTTATATCTCATGGTTTGTTCCATTTTATGAACACATTTTAGATCCCATTTGAATTTGGTGGAACGTCTGATTTGTTCACAAATCCTGATTTTTCTTTTCAACATCACCCATGTTGTTTCTACTCTATATATCTTTTTTATCAGGTTTGTTTTTATCATTCAATATCTCTCTTTGTTCTTAGGATTAATCTATCCTCTTAAATTTTTTTTTTTTTTCATAGGATCCAATAATGTAAGTGCTTGTTTATTTTTCTTTGTTCTTTGATCTATAATTTTAAGAGCTTTTTTTTCGGATCTAATAATTTAGAGTTAAGAGTTCAGTGTTTGACATTTTAATCCTATTTCTTTATGTTTCTTCAATCCAATCATACATCCGCTTTAAAAATATCTCTCAAGAGCCTATTCTTTTCTTCAGTTCAAACCTACATTCACTTTGAAAAATATAAGCATATGAAAGTTCTGGTCTTCATGTAAAAACTGTCATTCTACACAATATCTACTTGAAATGCTGATAAAATTTACAGTCTGCATTCTGCACATTCTTGTTATAGAGTGAATGATGGTGGCATTAGGGCTCCACAATATCTACTTTATCTACTTCAAATGCACATTCTTGTAATAGATAGAATGATGGCCACATCAGGACTATGTAAATTATAAGAAATAACG